GAATATTGGGGTACAATGAGTTATTGTAGTGCTTACATATTTATAAACAGTATTGAGTGAGCAAATCTGGGTTGATTTTGGAAGCAGCCTAGATCTCATTAGTGCAAAATAGTAATAAAACTGAGGGGTTTTTTATAGAGTATAATTTTACTACTCTAAATCCAGTAAAATTGGAAGAGCCCTTTCAAGAATATGTATTACAAATGTCATTGGTCTCGCAGCAAAAAGAAATTTTTACAAAATTTTTGTAGTTATTTAAGGGAATATTGATAGGGAGTAATAATCAAATCAAAGTACTGCATTATGTTGTTTGTTGTTTGCCCGTAATGTAGTTTTACCTAAAAACTGTATTTACTAGTAGGATTATGATATGACTGCTAAAGGCTGTCATTGTTGCATCTAGATGATATAAGGCTTTTAAGAGTAAGAGAGCTTACATTTACGACTTTGGTAATGTCTTACTTTCTTAAATGGAAACTGGAAATGTTGTGTGTATGCCTTCATCTGTGTCCTAGAGTTACTAATGTTGCAATACATTAATGGTTCGTAGTATTCGTGTGCTTGTTTGTGCCTTAGTGGGTGTTAGTCAGATTTTTATCCTTTATTGTATATTAGTGGTATCCACTCCTAAAAGATAAGCCTGGCAGTATAGGAACCAGTAATTTCAGAGTTCTCTTCAGGGAAATAAAGCATCTTGTTAAATGTATTCATATTATGTTCATATTACTAATACATCACATTGTATATATTTACTTTCTAGAGTCTATTAAATATTACATTTTGTAGAACCTGCAATTCATTTAGTGAATATGACAACCTGTTTCTTATCTGAATAGGATCATGTCTTATAAAGTAGAACAGGAGTGGAAAAGGGCAAAATGTAATCAAACCAACCCAAACACCAGTATTTCTAGACATTATTCTCATAGCTCTGAGTGTAGCTTCAGAAAGGAGAAGTAGGATTTTAATTCTGAAAGAGCACTATAATTGCTTTAATGTAGTTGATGCTGAGGTTGGGATAGAATCCAGACTCGGGATCAATTAATCATAAGTAAATCTATCAAAGTACTTCTGTGAATAACTCTGAGCAGTTGCTGAGCCCAGTAAGCCTGTAGTAAGCACTGAAAGGGATTTGGATACAAGAGTAGCCTCAGATTGATAAAAATTCAAATATTATTTTAAAGTATTGTTTTCTATTACATGTATATAACATGTCTCAAGTTTCAAGCTGAGGCTATTACACAGACCAGTGTGTGAGAGAGGAAAATCCATGCATTGTATGGGGTGCATCTCTGCTCTTTTTATTGCTTGTTGTGCAGTTCTGAATTGAGGGGGCACATCTTCAGTGGATATACATCAGCACTGATCAGGGCTGTGCTGATGTAAACTGATAAGGGATGCTGCTTGCTCTTTTTTTGTGGGTAGCTTTTCTTTCAGTCTTCATTACTGAGGACGTTTTCTTGTAGAGGGACGTAGTGACAACTCATATTCTTTTTGTTTGTTTGCATGTGTTAGTGTTCATTAGTAATTAAACATCATTTTCTTCTTGGGGGGAAAAAACAAGTGAAAGAAGAAAAGCCAATCATAATGTGGTTTTAGTTATTTATAAGCTTTCCAGCTCCATATGAAGAACTCAAAAAGGGATAAATGAAAGAATGAGGAAAATATTTGAGTGTGAACTTCTGAAATCTTACATTTTTCATTTTGCTGGTAAATTAATGTAACCTTTTAAATACCTTGGAAATAGGAAAAGGTTAGAATGGATATTTTTTGTTTCATTTCAAAATTTTTTTACAAGTATTTTACACAGTGTGGCAGTTATTTCAGCTAAATTGAATGTCACTGCAATTAATTTTTGAGTGGTTCTTTTTGCCGTCAGAGATTCAGATTAGAGATTGCTACTTTGCCATTGCTCCTGTATGTTACCTGAAGGTGATGAGAAAATGGCCTCAGTGATACGATCTGAGCAGAATTCTTTTTTCTGTCTTTAAGTGTAGCTGGATTACTAAACAATGGACAAACCAGAAATGCACTCTCTCTGCAACATAATCTTTTTGATGTTTAAAGATATACAGTAATATTTTTATTTGATATGAGTCCATTATGGAAAAGGTCATTTATAGTTACTATGAAATGACAGGGAACATCATGCAAAAATGACACCTTGGAAGCATTGAGAAAAATTATTAAAACAAAGCCAGTATTTGGTATATTATTATGGTTACCCATCCAAGTGGATTATACTTTGGCTTATTTTGTATTCATAACTTAATTTACAATGTTAACATAGCAATAAGTGAAAAATACTCTTTTCTAGGTGCTTACTGACATGTTCTTTTATTGTTAATTAGAATCATCGTAGCTTAGATAAACTTTAAACTCACTTAGATTTTAAGGAGCAAGTCAGGTGTCAGGACTTACTTTGGTATGAAAAATTATGTATTTGTTTTTAAACAGGAATTATTATTCATAAGTATGCCTTATTCCTAGGATATTCTGCACTAGAAGTTATCTGCATAAATGATGCCATGAGTATAGATAAGGATTTTAATTCAAACACTTTTCCCTCAAATGTTGCCTTATCTCCACCTCGGTTGATGTACTTGTAGAGGGCAGGAAGCTGTGCTGGTTGCAGAGAAAAACCTTTCCCATAATTTTGAGACTGGATGAAAGTGAGGAAGACAGAAATACCGAGTCTGATGAAGTAACAGATATAGAGACAAAACTGCAAAAAGAATAAGTTATTTTAGTTTTATCCTAAAATGATGTAATTCCAAATTCCAAACAACGAGCTTAGGAGAATGCCGCCCTTCCCCCCTCCATCCTAGCTCCTTTTATCTAACAACCTAAGTATCACAACCATCACAACCATCCTTGTGTCAGGTGCTGTAATGGCTAATTTAACAGACTTTCCTTATGTTCAGAGGATGTGTGGGCTGTCCAAAGATTTCCTATGATTTTGTATCCCTTTACCTAAATGTTCTTCACAAATTCTGCCTTTAGGGAATGTGACTTATGCAAGAGAAGCCATTCTGTTTTCCTTAGTAATTTTGTAGTTAGATGTCCTGTCACAATCCAAATTGTGATACCCACTTGAAAAATCACAAGTACATTTCAACCTTGTAATTTTAAACTAGTGCAGGATCTTAAATATGCTTCAGTCTGCTTTTTAAAAATTTTTCTATTGTCTTGTACATGGCAATACACTGCCTTATCTCAGTATAGTATTGTACTGTGTATTTGTTGTAGAAACAAATTCACAAATGTATTGTCCATACAGAGAGAGTGCATTTAGGGAGTGCACATGTTTAAGATCAGAATATTTTCCTCAGTTTTGTTATGCTTGTTCCCTCAGTGCATAAAACCACAGATACATGAGAAGTTATTTATAATTCCTTTTTACTTACCGTGGTGGCTTTAAAACACAAATAAATATTTTACAATAATTTATTTTACTTTATTTGCTTTCAATGGGGAGCTTTAAGAGTGCAGAATTTTTTTCCTAAATTTCAGTCAGGCTATGTAGCGTCTTCCACCTCTCCCACCCCCCTCTGAAAAAAGGGGCTTAAATGCTATGCTTTGTGTGATACACCTTTCTGATGCTCACATAAGGTAATTATTCCCTTCAAATGTTCCAGTGAAAATGGACTTTTCATTAGTTCCTAAATTTTTATTGGTATTTAATTATCCAGATCAGAGAGACTTTAAAGTTAATGACATCTCAGTAGGATCTTTAAAATGCTGTAATTTCTGATTTAAGGTGAAGATACTTGCTCTAACCACTGTTTTCTCTATGCTTAAAGGCATCTTTTGCCTGGCAAAGGGTCTTCCTGTATGGTACCTTGAAACTCTGTGTGTGTGTGTGTGTGGAGAATATCCCTTTCTTTTGCTCATACTCCATTCTGAATGAAGAATCATCTTCATGTAGTGCAAGAATTCCATATTCTTTAGAGTTCTCAGGACTTACTACGCATCTGCTTCCTCTTTTCCTTTTCAGGGTCAGGTCTTACAGAAGTTTTATAAAAGGTGGAATAATTTTTAGTCCTTCAATGCACTGGAAGTGTAATTTCTCTAGAGATGAAAGGGGTTTTTTATTTTACCTGCACTAATTTTTAATTTGTGAGGCAAATTGAAGATAGCATCCTATTTCTATACTTTAATAATTTCTGTTTATCAAAATGTGGATTTGAGTTACAATGATGACGGAGCTTCAGTAGTAACCACAGGGCTGATTTATGGCTCATGGATTTCAGGATACATATTTTTGTAATCCTCCTGTGGTCACATAGCAGAGATTTCACAAGTGGATGTTACAGTTTCTAGTGTTGTTTTAGGTGACCAGCAGTTTGGAATGCCAGAGTGGTCATAAAATATTATCATGATGGTACATTTAAGAAGCTAGGAAACTTTTCTGAGTCCAGAAATTACAGTGAAATTGTTTTTTGCCAATATGCAGGAAGACTTAAAAGTAGAGTTTCACTGATGGAGTTCTGGTTGTCTAAGAATATATGGCCAACATTCAAGATCAGAATGTATTTCATCTGTGAACATAAAAAGTAGCCAGAACTTGAGTTTTATGAAGGCACATCCCTCAATTAGGCTTTGATGGTGTGCCAGTCAGTCCAACAGATGGCCATGGTTTTCCAGTCCCTCACAGGAAATGAGTTAGGCTGCTGGAAATAATACTTTCACAGGTAGAGCTAGGATTTGTCTTATCAATGTATGGAAGTCTCTTAAAAGCACAGTTTGACACCAGGTTGAATCTGTGTGCTGCAGCTGTGTTATGCACTGGTTTTACCCTGTGGGTTTGAGGTTTTAAAATCTTAATTTGTGTTAATATGTTTCATTTCTTTTGGCTTTGAGAAAATGCCACGAAGGCTTATCAGCAAAACAGTATGGAAAAAAAAAAATGGAAGGAGTGGTGAATTGTTAATGCAAATCAATTATCAAATAACAATTATATTTACGAATCATATAACATCTTTTTTTTCACGTCCTAGGATACCAGATGGTCCCATTGATCAGGGACCAGCTGCAGGAAAGGTACATGCTTTAGAGGAGCAACTTTTAAAGGCCAAAGAGCAGATAGAAAACTATAAGAAGCGGACGGGAGATGGTTGGTAGATAAGTTTTCTTTCTAAACCAAATTCTGCTATTCAGTATCACAAATGTATTAGTTTCTTAACAAATAATTCAGCTGTAGGTGCTGATGCCATTATGCTTTTTTCTTTTTTTTTTTTTTTTTAATAGGAGGCCTTGGAAAAGACCATGAAATATTGAGGAGGAGGATTGAAAATGGGGCTAAGGAACTTTGGTTTTTCCTCCAGAGTGAATTGAAGAAGTTAAAAAATCTAGAAGGAAGTGAACTGCAAAGACGCATTGATGAATTTCTGTCTGATTTGGGTCATCAGGAAAGGTACTTGTATTGGTTGAATCTGTATATATGTTGTAGAGATTAGAGATTGAGTTAAGTAATCTACTGATACACTGCTTAAAACCTCTTAAGATAGATTAGTGCTATATGGGCTACAATATAATATCTGAAGCATGAACCTATAATCAATACTTGTATTTCGTGGGACATAAAGTTTATGTCACTATAGCTTAGAGTATGACCCTTTAACTCAACATATTTTCAGTTTTTTTAACAGAAGACCTGGGTCCGGGATGCCAGTTGTTGCTTTTTAGTTGCATCTATATATACACGCGTATGGGCATACTTGTACACAGAACAAAAGCATTAAAAAACATTAAAAATATTTTTTAAGGTGTATGATTTTGCCTTTCATAAATACTAGTATATAAGTTACATTGATCATTGGGTTATTATGTAATCAGAATTACTTAAATAATTGGTAATACCTTATTATCACGACTAGTTGCTATTCTGAAAATTACAATGTAAAAGAATATTTCAGATAGAAGTCACCTTTAATTACTCTGTCATTATGTTTTTCAGAAAGTGCCGGATTTATATTTTCAGTTATTTATGATTTTTCTGGCCTCCCCATTGTTCAAGTACCTTTTGTATTATACTAAAACATTCTGTATGAATTTTGTTCATACTCTACAAAATTAATCCAGGAAGTGTTAAAATTAAGCAAAAACTGTCTGTAAATCTATTTGTAACTCTGTTTCCAACAGGATTGCAGTGGCAATTCATGTCTTGTTAGAAAACAGTCATAGGAAAATCGTTTAATTAACTAAATATACCACCTTAAACAAGTATCTCTTTCATTAAAAACTATCTGCATGTGTGAACAACAGTAGTAAAGCAGGAGTCTTTGAAAATAATACTGTAGTAAAAGGAAAAAATAGTAAGAATTTTGAGTTCTTTGGACATAATGTAAACATTGCTTGAAACATAGTTTAAAAATAATATGAATGCGATTATTAATGTGGGCAAATAATTTAGTCCATTAAATTTTGTAATTTAATCTTCCACAGTTCCAAAACCCAGTTTGTCACAGATTGATGGAGTTTAAAGTGAGAAGGGACTATTCAATTATCAAAAGTTATTATCTATATAAAATAGGCCATTACATTTCATCCAATTATTTCTCTGTGGAGAGCAATTATGTGTGTTTGACTGAAATAATAAGTAGTGCTTGCCCGAAGCAGAATTTTCCGAAGGACTTGAGATCTGCAGTTAAACAGTCAACAGAGATGGAGAAGGTGCCACTTCCCTGGGCAGTTTGCTTCAATAGTTACCTCCACTCAGAAATACTAATTCCTCAGATAAGTTATTTCTGTTTGGAATTCTTGGACTTCAGGTCATTGATTTTTGATGTACCTTCTAAACTATCTGTGCCAAAACTAGAGCAAGTAGTCTAATGCCAGACTTACTGATGGGCGTCAGAGGAACAAAATCATGTGTATACACATTACTGCTCTGTTAATATAGCCAGGATCACATCAGGCAGTTGCTACAGTGAAACCTTGAGGAATGCTGTGTGCTTAATGCCAGAAGTTTTTTATGTCCATGCCTCCCAGGATGAATGCTTTTCTTCTTCCTTTCCTTTCTACACCAATGACTATCGATTCTTTACACTCAATCTGCAAGTTTCTGTATTTCTGACAGCCTTGTCCTCACATCTCTCTGTAATTCAGGATGAGACGAAACCATACTAGAAATGCATGCTCCTTTGCATTGAATAATAAAAGTCTGCACTGTAAACTTCTGGAAGTTATGAGATTAATCCCACTGTGGAATTCTGAACCCACTGTGGTACTAGAATAATTTGGGGTATGATGCAAGCAATCACAGCTGCCTTTTTATTTTTCCTTTATTTAAGAATTAAACTTCCTTTATTTAAGAATTCTTTAATTAAGAATTTTCTTGTTGAATGAAAGTGTTCTTTAGAATGACAGGGTTACCAAAAGCAGAATGTCCTGGAATCTGTTGACTCTTAGTAGTAGTGCTGTTGTAGACCTTCCTGTATGGTGAGGTCCTTAAAGAAGATTGAACTAATTTAAACTAAAAACAAGGAGCCAGGAATGAGCTTTTATTAAAATCAAATGCAGACAATTTTTTTTTTACAATTTGGAAATTTAATGCAATTGCATAAGAGAGAACAGATATAAAGATGTTTTCAAAATATTCAGCCTGTGTTCTTGGTTCATTGGCTTTGGGCAATAAAATTACCCTGCATTGCAGAATTACTTTTCTTGGTTGCCTCTGATTCCGAGGATGTTTGCTATTTCACCTTTGAGATCAGGTTGTCTCCTTCTTTCCATTTAATCCCAGTCTTGCTGTGTGAGTTGCAGGAAAACTCACAGCTGCTTTTGTGCACATCCTTTGGCCTCTGAATCACGGTTGTCTTGGGTGTCCTTTTCCCTTAGGATGCACAGCAGCTCCCGAGG